ATGGATGGTCGCCGGTTACCCCCACCTTATGGATACCACGTGGGCAGTCACGAGTCGCTCGACAAAAGTAGTGGTTAAAGGTCTAGTCAGAAGGAGAGTATGTGGCTTGTTGTGCACCCACGTTCACTGTCGTTGTCACCACCACTCTCTTTTTCCCAAGGTATTTCTATCGTCCCTATCTTCTACACCTTTAGTGTATCACTGAACCATTTATAACATCATTACAACGACATTCAACATGTCTCACTCACACGCATTTTCATTGCATACATCATTTATTCACATTACACGGCACAATGCTCACATTCATTTACAATGCTCGGCACATATGCCTTTATTCCATCACACATCATTTTCAACAAAATTCACGTTTACATTCAACATGTCATCTACACTCATTTCTAACTATTTACATTATTTAATCATCAATCATTGGCATGCTCACACATATTCACTCTCATTCTCAATAAAGGGTATGTCAACCTCACAATCAAACCACATTGTATTCAAACACACAATAATTTCCATCAATCACACATTTTCTTTGCTCTATCTCAACCACATTACAATATTTAGCAAGATAAACGACAAATAAAATACAATGAGATAGGGTAAAGTCTTCCTTTATCTCAAATTAAAGACCCACGCACAAACAATGATAGAAAATGTTTTTCACACAAATTTCGTCCCTAAAACACATGAAAAACTCCATAAGAACTTAAAGAGAACCCATAAAATAGAGAAAAGGGACAAAAATTGAAACACTAACCATTAAAACTCATCTCTAAGCGTTTTCAATACGAATCCAACCTTCAATCTAGCTCACGAACAGCTTTGGAGGCAATTTAATCAGTAAGAATGACTTGTGAATCAAGTGAAATGAGAGAGAGAGTTCGAAGGGAGAAGTGAGAAATGAGAAATGATTTTTTCCAAACCCTAACCCCTCAAATACCCCTTTGGTCACGACACTTTCGCTACAACGAGATATTCTCCCTCATTGCAGCAACACCCTCTCTCGCTATAATAAAAATCTCAGAGGAAACTGCACTTTAGTTTCTGCAAAATCTCGCTACAGCGAGACTGTGCCCAAAATTGCACCCTAAACTGTCACTCTCTCGCTACAGTGAGAAGACGACAGTTTCACGCTTTCCTCCTAGGGTCCTCTCGCTACAGCACCCTGCACCAAACACTTAGCTAAAATTTCAGTCAAATTCCAATCATCTACAACAATTCTAGTTCCAGCATAATTAGCACACACACTCATACCAGCCTACATCATCACATATATGTATATTCTCATTACAACGCATATATATATATATATATATATATATATCAAGTACACAACACATAAAAATTCCTATACACCCTTATATTAATAATCAAATGATATTACCAAATTCGGACTATTACAATTAACTTTATTTCTCACCCATGCATAAGTAAAATAAAAAGCACACTAATAGTTACAGCTATATTCATTAAATATATCACTCAATTTATTTAATAAAAATTGTTATATTGGATATTAATAATATATTTAATACTATATTCATCAGTTATAACACAATTATTACATACGTGTCTTTTTATATTAAAAAAATATGTACTAAGAGTGTTTATATATATTTTTATTATCATTAGACTAAATTAAATTTATAATTATAATTAAAATAAACATATTAATATAATAACTATAAAATGATAAATATTTATATTTGTTGAATGAATTAATTTTATAGTATGAAAAAGTTATTATTAAAAGAGTAAATATTTTAAAAATTAATATATAAAATACTAAAATATGTACTTTTTTTTATTGGCTCTCTAATTTGAATTATATGCTATTCCTAAATATTTTTTTAGTTTATTAAGTTATTATACTTTTAAAATTTAACAATTTCTAGTCTTATTTTTTTTTTACCTAAAACTTCAAAATTTTCATTTTTTATTTGTTGGAAGATTTGTAATGACATTAGAATATAAAATAATATTAAATCGTCAGAATAAACAGATTTATAAAAATTATTTTATAAGAAGCAATATAAGGATTTAAAAATAAAATATTTTATTATTTTATTACGGGTAAAATTGGAGAGTATGGTTGGTTATTTGAATAGAAAATAACTGAGTGAAAAAATATAATTTAAAAATTTTATGTAGAAGAAAATTAAATAGTAATAAAATTTGTTAAGTTTTAAAAATTAGAGAGACTTAATTAATTTTAAAACACGTGGGAGTTCAAATTTACACAGGACAAACTAGAAGAACTAAATGCATAATTACCTTTGATATTATTTAGAAAGGAATTAATATATAAACATGTGTTAAAATAAAAAATTTAATATACAATTGTATAGTAGAAAACATTATAGATATGCATACTAATTTTTTAAAATTTTAAGTCTAATTATTATTTTGAATAAATTATTATGGATTGATTAAATTGAAATATTTATTGACTTTAAAATATTTTATTTTTAATCATTATTATTTATTAAAACGGTAACAATATGAAAAATGATGGCGATATAATTTTTTAAAATTTTATATGTTATTAATTTGATCTAAATATTATTTGTTCAGTTAAATTTATTTTACGTGTTTATTTGTATGGAATTGGAATTTATTTACTACAGATGGTTAAAATAAAAAAAATCATATATATTATACAACTTAATTATAAGATATTTTTTATATGTGAATCTTTTAATATGTGTGTAAGAATGTAAAATGAAAAGCTATACTCAGTGAGTTATTATTAAAATTTATTGGATTTAATGTATTGATAATATTAAATGCTATATTTAAAAAAAATACTATTTATTAATTTTTTATTGTGTGTATTTGGACATATTATTAAAAAAACTTGAAAAAAGCTTACAAGATTTAAAAAAGATATATTATTTATATATAATAAATAAAATTACAAGATTGGAAAAAGCTTAATTTATAAATCTTACATGTTGTATTGAAAATTATAATACACGTAAAATTTAAGCGGTGTAACATTATGAATTAAGTTTTAAGTTTGTTTGTGAAAAATTAGTAAAAAATTAAAATTTAAAAGAAAAATATATTTTAAATTAAAATGACATGTACATTTTTGTTTACTTTTATACACAATATTAATAATAGATTAAACTTGCTTGGTTAATAAAAAGATTAACTTAGAAACCTCTTATAGGCCCTTCAAAGAATCGTTAGTTTCAAACAAAGGGAAAATATACTTCTGACTATAGTTATCTAAACAATATCGTAAGTAATGAATTTATTTGGTTGAAAAAAATTATTCAATGTACAATTTTAATAGATGACTTCTACATGTTAGTGATAGAAAAAAAACAATGATAATTAAAAGAGAAAGAATATTCTAACGTAGGTAAGAATGTTAAGTCAATTCCTACTTAAGCAAAAGACGTATTAACCAAATAAATTGATTATATAATACACATTTATAAATTTTCAACAATAATTCATTTTTATTATCATTAATAAGCATATCATTAAAATAATTGAAGAATAAATAAAATAGTATAAAAATTCAAACAATACTAAAAAGTAACTGATAACATTAAAGAATACTAAAAAGAACCTGATAACATTACGCGTTTTATCATCATGTACAATTAAATATGTATGTTATTATTAGGAGGAAATCATTAAAAATGTTGTAATTTTTTATTAAATTAAAATATTAGTTCTTATAATTAGTATTTATTTTTGAATTATTTTTATATTTAAAAGATTAAAATTTTTTATTTGTATATAAATTTTTATTTTAGTAAAGTGTGATAAAAAACTTATATAAACATTTAAATATAATTTATAAATAAAAATTAATTATAGAGATTCAAATGTGTATTTTAACTTTTTTTTAAGAATTACACGTGATGACAAATATTTAAATTATATTTTACAATAAAATATTCATGAAAACACAATAATATAATTTTATAAATTTTTGAAAAATTATTATTATTTTTAAATTACAGATATTTTTTACGAAAGCAATTTTGTTTGAAACATACATGGTTACCGAAAGCAATAAAATTATTTGGTTGAGTATTTAATATTAATATTACTGCGTTTATTAAGATTTGAACTTGAAACTATATTTAATATTTTATATTAAAAATGTTATTTAAAATAAATTATTTATAAGAATACGTAACAGTAAAAATCTGATTTCTTAACATTTTCATATTTAATTTTTTTAATATCTAATTATCTCTAAAATATAGTGCTTAAAAAGTAATTAATAATTCATTATTTCTTTAAATGAGAGAATAATATCGGAAAAAATCTAAAATATATAGATAAAAGTGAAAGGAAAACAATATCTGTTCAACAATGAATGCACACATGAAAAATCTCACAAGAAAACCAAGTATGAATGAGATTTTTACTTTCCGTATCGGTCAAAAAGTCATTTTTTATTTTTTGCGAGACTTTGGAAAAACATAATATGTATTTTTAAAATGTGTCCATTATCTGGCACTACCCCTCCTCCCCACAAAAGATAGAAAATCCCGTAATAAGGGAGAAAAGGAAAACATTAAATTTTAATATTGATTTTGACTTTTTATGATGAAATTTATTTTAACTTTAACTGTCCATTAAAAATATTTATTATATTATAAATATAAAGAATTTAATTTAAACATCCTGATCAAATATTATTATATCAACGAAAATTATTCATTATTATATAAAAACAATACTTTTTCGTGTATTCAACGTACCTCCATTTACTCAACCTCGATCATAATACTACCAATACTTGATTACAAGGTATACAATATTATAATTGAATAATACAATGTAAATATAAAATATTAAAAAAGTAAATTTTTAACAAGATGAGTCTAAAATGAATCTTAATGTCAAAGGAAGGAAGCGAGAAACTGATTCGTGTGCAGAAGCGGGCGCCTACTGATTTGTGTTGGGGGTGGTGTGTAGTGTATATATAAAGGACACGAGACACTTTGGTTTCTTGCTACCATCACTCGCTCATCCACCGAGACTCGCATGAGATAAAGCTTCAGAACCGCGTCAACATAATTAACATGCCGAGTAAGACCGTGTAGTTCCTAGTAACTTGTTACAAGACATATATAAATTGGTGTTGTATCAGACATAGAAGAAGAAAATAATAAAGAAAGAAAAATGGTGGTGCCCATGTCCATGTGCGGTCAAGAAGAGCTTGAATTGTCAAGGGATGGAAGCCATTACAGTCTCTCTACTGGGATATTACCTTCTCTTGGAGCCAGAAGTAACCGAAGAATTAAACTCAGACCCCTCATTATAGCTCCCTATGACCGTCGTTACAGGTTTTCTCTTGTTTCTTCCTCTTTAGTTCTTCTGTGAGTTCCAAGGTTCGATTACGTTTCCTTTTTTTAACAAATGCTTTTCTTTGTCTTTCTCGTTGAGAGAAAGAAGGGAAGACAAGGAGGCTATCATGGCTATTCTTTTTCTTTGTTTCTGACGGAAGCTTGTTAGTTGTTACACTTCTTTTTTCTTTTCATGATATATTATTTTATTCTTTTCTTGTATCATACTTTTTGAGGCTACTATAGCCATTACTTCTTGGTTGCTGAATGTTGAATAATCATTTTATTTTCTTTTCTTTTTTCAATTTTGTGTTCTTCTCTCATTTTTTTTGGGCTAAATGCTAATACAAATACAGTCTTTGATGAGTTTTTATTTTGTTTTTATTATTGTGTTGGATGTTGGATTTTCTGTTTTACTGTTCACAAACCAGAAATGGACAACATTGGATCTCTTCGTTTATGGTCCCTCATGATTACTAAAGGAGTAAATCTGTTCCATTTCATTTTCTTTTACGCATTATTTAAAGAAAAAAAAATTCGCAGTTTTGTTATTTTGTCTTTCTGAAATGTTCTTCCATTGGGATCCAAAACTTTAAAGCCCGCTTTTCAAAAAAGTTATATGTATGATTTGATTTGGTTTGTTTTTGTTCAATTAGAGTTTTCAAAGGAACATCTACCTGGCACTAGTCAGCATATGATGTTTGACTTTGTTTCCTTAGATTAGAATCTACCAGGGGTTGGTGGTGGCTGTGCATGCAATGGAAGAGTTCAATTCCAAACGCATGTTTTGTTTTTGACTTTAATTGAAAGTTTCGTGTAAAATAATTGTCTTTTTTTCCTGTGTTTTTCCCCCCTTATGAATAAATAACCGAAATATTCTTATGTTTACAGCTTGCTAATTAACTAAGATTAGTACTAGTGAGTAATTAATATTTGTTGGGTTTTGCAGGATATGGCAAACTTTCCTTGTTACTCTGGTAGTTTACACTGCTTGGGTATCTCCCTTTGAATTCGGATTTCTTAAGAAACCACAAGCACCACTTTCCATTACTGATAATGTTGTCAATGGATTCTTTGCTGTGGATATTGTTCTCACCTTCTTTGTGGCTTACATTGACAAAACTACCTATTTGTTCGTGGATAACCCAAAACAAATTGTTTGGAAATATGCAAGAACTTGGTTGACCTTTGATGTCATCTCTATCATTCCCTCAGAGTTTATTGAAAAGATATCACCAGCTCCTCTCCAAACTTATGGGCTATTCAACATGCTTCGGCTTTGGCGTCTTAGGAGAGTCAGTGCTTTGTTTTCTCGGTAATATTGAGAACTTTTTAATGAAATGCTATGGATATTTTGTCTCTGGGCTGTGTAGCCTATAACAGTAAATGCTATGTTTTTGAGTAGGCTTGAGAAGGACAGAAACTATAACTATTTCTGGGTTCGGTGTGCTAAGCTTATATGTGTAAGTTTCCAAACTTGTTGAATTTATAATGTTCTAATGAGGGAGATGAATTTGTTAAGTTCAATAGACTGATTGTTCGAGTGATTTCTATAGGTTACCCTCTTCGCTGTTCATTGTGCTGGATGTTTTTATTATCTTCTTGCTGCACGTTATCATGATCCCAAAAGGACTTGGATTGGGGCAACAATGGATAATTTCCTTGAACAAAGCTTGTGGACAAGATATGTGACATCAATGTACTGGTCTATTACTACTTTAACAACAGTTGGTTATGGAGATTTGCATCCAGTGAATTCAAGGGAGATGATCTTTGACATCTTTTATATGCTCTTTAATCTCGGGTTAACAGCATATCTGATTGGTAATATGACCAACTTAGTTGTCCATGGCACAAGTAGAACAAGAAAATTTGTAAGTATTTGGTCACAGTTCGAGTTAGTGATCTTTTAATTCATGAAGATGTAAAACTTATATATGATTTTACTTAATTCTCAGAGGGATACCATACAAGCTGCCTCAAATTTTGCCCAAAGGAACCTGTTGCCTCCTCGTTTGCAAGATCAAATGCTTGCCCATTTGTGTTTGAAGTATAGAACAGACTCAGAAGGGTTGCAACAGCAGGAGACACTTGATTCTCTTCCTAAAGCCATCAGATCAAGCATTTCACATTATCTTTTTTACTCTCTAATGGATAGGGTCTACTTGTTTCATGGGGTTTCTAATGACTTGCTATTTCAATTGGTAATTGCAAATTTTGTATAAAATTGTAATTGATAGTTACATGTTTATTTTAATCTTTAATTTGCATCGAGGGCTTATATTTTGTTTGACCCAACTATAAAAGGTGTCAGAGATGAAAGCGGAGTATTTTCCACCCAAAGAAGATGTCATATTGCAAAATGAAGCCCCCACTGACTTCTATATACTAGTTACTGGTGCTGTGGTAATTATCTGACTTATTTATGTGAATTCTAAATCTGGTTTTCAAATTCACATCACGTGATTGTGAAGATGAGCTTTTTTCCCTTGAGGCAATCTTACAAAATGTGGTTTCTAATGCCCTTACAGGAACTACTAGTTCGTAAAAATGGAGTTGAGCAGGCAAGCTTCTTTTTTTTTATTAATGCATGATAAGAATAAGTTCTGGAATATAAAATATGAAACTGAATCTGAATGTTGATAACTGATCCAGGTTGTTGGAGAGGCAAAAACTGGCGATCTTTGTGGTGAGATTGGTGTGCTTTGTTATAAGCCACAACTTTTCACAGTTCGAACAAAGCGATTAAGTCAGTTGCTGAGGCTGAACCGTACTACGTTCTTGAATATTGTTCAGGCCAATGTAGGAGATGGAACCATAATCATGAATAATCTCCTCCAGGTATGCATAATATTATCGATTCAGTTAATCTCATTTTCTAGAGATAAGTTTAGATATATCAAAGAGTAATATGTTATTGGAGAAAGAAGTACTTCTTATATTTTTGTATGCCTTATGTAATAAACATTTTCTTTTCCAATAAAGTTTACTAAGTTTGAATGCTTAGACTCAATTTTAAAGGTTAAGGTTAAAAAAAGAGCAATAGTATGACCATTCATTGCATGTTAACAATTAGTTCTTATGTGATTCTTTTGAAATGAGATATTTCTTTCATTGAACAACACCATGTTATGAAAAAGACCTTTGTTCACAAGGACAACAACTTGGCCAATTGTTTCAGCTTTTTGTTTTAGATGTTTACTCAAACACAAGAAAATAAAATAATAAAAGTACATTTTGGAAAACGTATCAGAAAAAGATCATTCACATTTCCAGCACACAGTGATTTATCTATGTGGACTTGTTATGATGAGCAGCATTTGAAAGATCTCAACAATCCAATCATGGAGGGAGTTTTGGTTGAAACTGAGAACATGATAGCTCGTGGTAGGATGGATCTACCTGTAAGTCTATGCTTTGCGGCAGTAAGAGGAGATGATTTGTTGTTACATCAATTGCTGAAACAGGGCTTGGATCCAAATGAATCCGACAACAATGGAAGGACAGCTTTGGTGGGTGAATAATTATACTTTTGTAAGTTTTGTTCTTGTTTTTAGCAATCTATTTTTTTTCCTAATCTTTGGAGCTGATTTTTTCTTCTTGCAAAATCAGCATATAGCAGCATGTAAAGGAAGAGAAAACTGTGTTTTACTTCTGTTAGAATATGGGGCACATCCTAATATCAGAGGTATATATATCTTGCCTCTTAGCTAGTTCTTTATCTTTTAATCCATGCTTTTCTTCTTTTATTTCCTCAAAATTCTTTTGGTTACGCTATTATATAATATTATAAAATCAACCGATAAAAGATAGTTTTAGAAAATAATGTATACAGGGCAATACCAATTTGAAGAACTGTGGAAGATGAAGACTTAGGCATAACAATTACTGTTAACACAGGATTTCATAATTATTAGTAAGCATCTGTGTTCTTCTCAATTATTTTGAAGTCTACCAGATTAGGACGTTAATCCCAGGGCTCGAGACTTAAGTCGTTACTTAAATAATAATAATGAAAGAGCAATGACTTATTTGCCTATCTTTTTTGTTTGTGCTATAGGCTTACGTGGTCAACTATATCTGTGATCCATTTTTTAATAAACGCTAACTTAATTTTTCTCAATTAGGATATCAACAAATCTTCTTATTTAATTAAACAAATCATGCTGTCGCTGATGAGGACTCAAGGGTCTAAGTTTATATATCGTTGACTTTTCTATAGACATAGTGTGTTATGGGTTTCAATCCAAAATATTATGAATTAATGACATTATTATATTATTTAATTAAAGTAATGATCCTTACTCTGACATTCCCACTGTGCTTTTTGTGTGTGTGTGTGTGTGTGTGTTGATTGCCCTTCAACAGTGGCCCTTAGCAAGACAAGTGGAATTAAAAATAAATATAAGAAAGTAGTTGAAATGTAATAATAGAAAATGATGTTATTCGTTTCTTAATAGTAGGGTAGAGTCTAGTCTCCATTTTCCGTGAGTCTCCTCCTTCCTATTATAGGCATAAAATCTCTCGTAGTGAGCAACCTACTAATTGTAGATCAACATGTTATAATAACCATATTGTTTACCTAATCCAGACCTATCCGTGCCTCTTTTCTTTAATAAAAAAATGAATTAATAATGTAGTTATTGTGTTTGTGGGCGGTGTACGTTTGTACATGGTTTTCTTTCCTTGTCAACAAAAGATTATAGAAGTCACCGTCTAAGTAGATCTGGTTCTGAATATGATAACATGCTAAATTCGTCAAGATATCCTTCTGATTATAAGTAATGTTAGTAATATATAGTTTGACATTTAGTTTTTAATATTTCATCTATGAATTTTGTTCATTTTAATTGTTAGGATTGAGAGTAAACACTTAAAAATAGCAAATTTTTATTAAAAAATACATTTATTATAAAAAAAAGTGATAAAAATTTAATTTTTTCATTTATTATTATATAAAACATAAACGAACAATTTGCTTCAAACGATATGGAAAAAGAAAAGACCAAAATTGCATACCGTTAATGTGGCTGCAGATTCGGATGGCAATGTAGCACTATGGGAAGCAATAGCAGGTGGACATGAATCAGTCTGCAATGTGTTGGTAGAGAATGGCGCAAAGTTGCAAATCGGTGACGTGGGTCAATATGCATGCAGTGCGGCAGAGCAGAACAGTATCAACTTGCTCAAAGAAATAACGCGCTACGGAGGAGACATCACCCTCCCAAACAGCACCAACGGGACCACAGCGTTGCACGTGGCAGTGTCGGAAGACAACGTTGAAATTGTGAAATTGCTGTTGGATCACGGGGCTAGTATTGACAAACCAGACATGCATGGTTGGACCCCAAGAGATTTAGCAGATCAACAAGGACATGTAGAAATCAAAGCCCTTTTTGAGTCCATTGGGGAGCCTAAGCCTCGGTCTCAGTCTCAGCCTCAGCCTCAGCATCTTGTTTCCATTCCTGAGAAACATTCTCAGAATAAGTTAAGGTACCTTGGTAGATTCACAAGTGAGCCAACAATGCCTTCATTTCATGGCACTGATGGATCTTGGAGCCAAAACCGTCCAAGGCGTAGGGGCAACAACTTCCATAACTCACTCTTTGGGATAATGTCAACAAAATCCAAAGGGGAAAAGGACATGCTTTTCTCTGTTGACAATAATAACAATGCTAGGAATGGTATGAAGAGTACAGTTTGCCCCTTTAGTAGAGTTGCAATTAGTTGCCCTGAAAAGGGTGAGGTTGCTGGAAAGCTTGTTTTGCTACCTGCAAGCTTTAAAGAGTTACTTGATATTGGAGCCAAGAAATTTGGTATTAGTCCTGCTAAGGTCGTTACCAAAGATGGAGCTGAAATTGAAGATATAGAGGTAATTAGAGATGGTGACCATCTTGTTTTTGTTAGTCTTAGTGGGATGCCGGACTCCGGTTCTCCAGCAGAACCCACCAGTGGTGTGCCTCTATAGCAATAGCATGCACATAACAAACGTCTTGGTCATTATTTTTCGTTTACCCATCTCATCTGTTCTCAATTGTAAATCTTGTGCTGGTTACTTTTGTTTGAATGCAAAATGAAAATAGTTTTCACTTTTTACTCGCATTGCATTAAAGGGGCTGTTCTTTGTCACATGGAATAATCAAATAAAAAATCATAAATAATTAAAAACGAATTCGGACGAATGAGTTATGCGAAGAATCCAACAATAACTTCCACCAATTCCTCCTCTTTTTGTCCATTCTATAACTTACTGTTTATCTAATAAAATTGTTCCACGTAATTTGTGTATTTTTTCGTGCTGAAAATTTCGTCCTATTTAGCAATGCTGTAATAAGATCATGCAGGTTCGAGATTGTGTACTCATACTCGTCTCGCAACAAGGCCCACTTCTGTTAATCGTTAAAGGGGGTAGAACAGGAAGAGAAGTACATTGTAATTCAGTACACTTTTAGCCATCTCCTCCTCAATCACAAACTAAAGGGAAATAGTGCACACAGCTAGATATTTCTCTTATCCATTCATTAGCAGGTAACAAAAGACTAATAGATTTAAAATTTTGGGCCTAGGCACTCTCATAATTGCAACGGATAAAATAAAGGTAAATCTGTGCATGGACAACTGACTGCATATATTTTCACTAGTTTTTTAAGAGTCAGATTTGCAGTATACAGAATCTGGTAAGTCCAGATTTTTGATTTAAAGAAAAGAAGGCGACGATATAAAGCAACAAGGTTGCTGAGATTGTAAGTGTTAAATAAGGCGACAACTCAATATTTAATTCATTAAATTACATATTTTTACAGATACGTGGTCTGTGAATCACAAAAGCTTGAGCATTTTCAAGCGACTTTCATGTTCTGGGTCCAACTTTGGTGGAAAATAGCAGCCACGAAGATCCTCTACTATGTATTCCTGTAAATATTTATGATCCATAAAGCAACATGAATGTGCGGGATAGAAATAAAGTATCAAATATATGAAACATGAAAATCCTTACTGACGATTGATTTTATTTTGTGGAAGATAAAGCAACATGAGCATTCAATATAGCACAAGGGTAGTACTACCTTTGTAAGCTCCCTCTTGGTGAGGATATGGTAGTGCCTCTGCCAAATTCTTTGAATGGCCATGGTGGCGGCAAGAAAACCATAAGCGATACCAAGAATTGCAAAGATGACAACAAAAACAACCACGAGGGCAAAGCATGCCTCCATTGATGCAGGAAAGCAATCCAAGATGCCCCATCCATAACAACAGTTCTGACAACCAGCCATTCTGGGGTCATTGGTATTGAGGGAGGAGCAATGCAGTATGAGACCAAAAAATCCAATAAGTACAAAGAAGGCCAGCACTCCTGATATAAAAATATAAACCATCAAAGGACTGATGAACAGGAAGTAAAAGCTTCAGCTTTCATACAATTATTACCACCAATGATTAATTAAGTGTCAAAATGGATCCAATGAATGAAATTTGATTAGATATTACAAGGTTAACTGTTTAAGAAACAATGCCAAAAAAAAAAGATTAAGAGAATAAGTAATTCCTTTTTCCCCTCCTAAAAACTATAAAACACTAATGGATTTTTATATTCTCATATTAATGATTTTTTCTAAGAGATTTAAATTCTCTCATGTTATTGATTTTTCTTGTCCTTAACTCTAATTAGAATCAAACTTAGATGTTTGGTTATGTGTCTTTCTTTCTCCAACAAGGCCATAATGTAACATGAGAGGACCTAGACTCCACTCAGATATATGATGAACAATAATAATCTCTTTGTGATATTTTTGAGGATTAACAATAAAACATTAAGGATGAGGCAAATATCAAAGCATATTACAAATGTCTTAGATGATATGGAGAAATACAATACCCTACATCCGGAAAATTTCATGGCAAAGACAAAAGAAAGGACAAACACACAGGAATTTCAGCTATTTATTGCTAAAAAGAAAATAACTACTGTAAACATGAAAGCTTACCAATACAATAATAAAATGGTATAGGATGTTTTGACAGTATCCTATCCCAACCATCATCGAAGGAGTTCCTGAAGCTCCCATCTTTGTCCATGATGTAAGCAAAGCCACCAATAGCAGCAATCAGCTGGCAAGTAACAGAACATAGCTTAGATCACTTCATAAATATATGCCAAATGAATAGACAGATCCATCCCAGAATCAATTTTCAGAACACTTTTTTTAAATAAAATGAAACTAAAAGTGCTATTAAAAATATTCTTTCTGACAGAAGATTATTTGATACAACATTTCATCATGATAACAGATGTAGGATTGAATGAATAGACTATATACCACTCATATGAATGAATTGAAAATGAAAAGCTTCTATAACAAATAACATCCTCTTTGCAATACCTTTATAAAAGCAATGAAAGCATAATCATTCAATATGAAAGGATAAGGAAGAGAGTTAAGAATGCTCACAGTTTGTACAGCCAGAAAAACAAGGAAAACATCCCTTGCCACAAAAAGTCTGAACTTTACTTTTCGCCAAGAGTTGTCCTCAAACAATTCAACTCTAAGATGAAATTGCGCTTTGCAGGTGGTGCAGTGTGAGAAGGCAAACCCTTCCTACAAAGCACACAGTTCACCAAATTATTTTATCTCAACCAGTTAATACTTGCAGTAAATATTATACATCAATACCAGAATTAAAATTTATACCTTTACTGAGCGCCAGTGATCAAGGCATGAACGATGGACAAACTGCTGGGTCCCTTTGCACATGCATGGAGATATCAATTCATCCTCTACAAAATCAAAAAACAATTAGCTTTAGGAAAACTGCCATCACCCAAATATTAACATCCATATTGTTGTTAGCTAACATCATGTGTCATGTGGCATTTATCTGATGAATTGAACAGGCTCAGCATCATAGTACAGGATTTGCCCAGGTCCCAAATGAGAAAAAAACTTAATCATTAATTTATCTATTACCATTGCTTTTACTGAATACAACTGATGATAATTTTAGTGCTGAAATGAGAAATTTCAGCGTAGAAAATGTTGTGTTCTATATTAAATTTATGCAATGAAAAGTTTAAAACATTCAGTATATGGGGGAATGGTAGATAAATGCATGCATTCAACTGCACAATTTTTAAATTATTAAATGACATTAAATACCGAGAGTTCCATTTCCTTAACCAACAATAATTAAATCAAAAATATTTTCAACCATTGCATTATCAAAAGTACACCCTTAGCATACTAGAAGAGCTAAATTTTCCAATTTCAGTTTCCATTAGCAAAATAAAATCGAAGGTGAAGTTACATTACATTGATTCTCTATTTTAGAGAACAATCAAAACCATAGCATGTAGGAAGGATCAACTTAATGTAACTTCAAAACTACATGCTATGGGATTGATTGCTCTACAACTTCAAAACCACCCTTACAAAATGCACGACAGGGATCCACAAATACAATCGGTACAACAACAATCAAACCTTATCTCACTAAGTTAGGTTGTCTACATGAATCACACAACACCATTTAACTCGATCAAAAACTAAATATTCAGAAATCTAGTTAATCAAAAGGTCTCTTTTAATAATTTTGTCTAAGGTTATTTTGGGCCTCCTTCAATCCCTCTTTACCAAACTAAGTGTCATGCAATCTACTCTCCTTACTGATACCTCCAAAGATTTTTTTTGCACATAACCAAACCACTTTAAATGAGTTTCAGTCATTTTTTCACTATTGGTGTTATTCCAATATTTTTTCGTATACTATCATTATTTTCTCGTATACTATCATTTTATAGACTGTCTTTTCTCATGTGTTTACTCACCCACCTTAGCATTCTCATTTCTGTCACTCTTACTTTCTTCTATACAATCTGTGAAAGAAAAAAAAAAAAAAAAAGATAAAAACTACAATATTTGATCAAAATGTCACCAACTTTGATACTAAAGTGATACACTGGTTAAAATCTTAAGTACTCTATTTGCACTCTCCAAAACCCATGCTTCAAACCAAACTCTGTCTAATTAAGTTCTTACTCCATTATACAGGGAAATAAAATTTCACATGGGGAGACTAACTCTTTCTACGAGTGAAATACCAATGATTGACAAGTTGACAATAAGAACCGAAAATGAGAAAAATTGGCATAAATTTGAAAGCTTTTGCAGGAAATTTCACCAGGGTCGGAATCGCTTTCGAGGCAAATTCGACAACAAGGGAGTGAACCAGCCTCAACGTCTTCCTCATCCTTAATCTCACCAGAGCTTCCCGGCGACTCGTCCTCCTCCTGGTGATGAAGTAAAGGATCGGAATCACTAGGGTTTTGCAGAACCTGTGGAGGCTGAAGCTGTACTTCCCCTTTCATTGATTGCCACTGTTCGATCGAGGAAGCTTTGAGAATTGAAAACCCTAACACAATATTACTGAACCCAACAAGGGTATCATAAGATTTTGGCTTTTAATTCAATTTTAATCCTTGAAAGTCGAATCAGACATTGATAATTAAAAGGGTCAATGGAATTAATTTGAAATAATGTACCTGAGGTTACAACGAAATTCAGAGGGGTCCTTGGTGAATCAGCTATACTTTGATTTCTTAAGAATATCGATAACAACAATATGCTGTTCTCTGTGATAATAAATGGAAGGGTTTCAAAGTACTGTTTTGGATTTTTTTTGCCGTTTCATTCTTTAATTTTACGTTGTAAATAGAAACCAGACGATGGTAATCGCAGACCTACTTCTTGTCTTGACGTTTGACTTTGTTGTCTTTTTATTTAAGATATATTATTTGGATTGGACCCAAATCAAATTAGAAATATTACTTTAAAATATTTTAAGCAGTATTAGGAATGCTTTTAGGTGGGTCTGATCAGATTTTAATGGAAAAGATAATCAATTAAAACAGTTATGTTTAACTCTTTTTTGTCAAACTCAAACTAAAATTAGTCCAAAAAGTAAATTAGAGAAGTAAAAATAATATAAATAATAGGTGCATAAGTTCAAATAATTTTAATTTTTCTAGAGAGTAACAAACTTAAACGTAATCTTACAATTAGAAAATCAACAACCTTCCTTACAGGGCATGATTATGATTAAGCTCATTCATAAAATTAAACATGCTATCAGAGCCCATATGACCTCATGGCCCATTATTGATCCAAGGAAAGATTAATAGCCCAACACTTGAAAGTTCAACGATAAAAAAGAAGACAAGTAAAATTTTAATTGGGAAAAAGGTAAAAAGAGACCTAAGCAAAAAGTTATCTAATTTGTTGGCCTCTAAGACTCAAGTAAAAGGAGCAACACCCAATGAGGCACAAGCTAGCCCCAACGATGAATGAAGGCAGAATAATGGCCTCTAAAGTTTGAACTTGAAGCTCCATTTCTTTTCTCACATCCCAAATTTTTTTTTAGAGGGAAGAAAAGGAAAAAATAAATTTTATATTTTAAATAAATATATTTTAAATTCATATGTTTTTAAAATAAAAAATATAAATTGATATAAATTTTATGTATTGATCACACATATATATATAATCATAAGTGATATATGATTATTTTAATTTAAGAATAAAAAATATGTCTTCTTTACTATTCTCTTCTAAACTCCTCTCAAATATACCTTAAAAAAAACTAAACTAACATAAACTCTCAATATTATTTTGTCAAGGTCACAAACAACCGCAACTATATTAAGACTACTTTGTTAATGCCACAAATTACTGAAACTTATCTTAGATGATACTCTATAAGCAAGTTTTTTCATAACCTCTAATTATCAAAGAGTTTAACCACTTAATATTTATGCAATGATAAAAAAAAAAAAATTAAGACTCGAGAAAATCAATGCCTATATAAGGAAAAAGGCATCAAGACCTCAAGTAGATTACACCCTTTGAACTATACTTAGAACTTCATTTCTCAAAACATGTTTAACTTAATTGTTAGAGTGGTTCTTCAAAAAATACCTCTAGTATTTTCGTCGGATTTAAGCAATTATAACAACATCAAATTTTGTATTTAAGCAATTCCCTCTATCCAGGGCAAAACAGGAAAAAAAAGGTAAGTATAACCACTTTATTAGTGATAATCGAGCATTGTATGTTGTGGAAATTGTGTATTATATATATTATTAATCTTTCAAGTTTGTTGATTCTTATTAAAATTCACACAGCTCCTTACGAGCATGCATGCAAACACATGCAGAGTGGAATTAACTGCGAAAGTTACTTTGTTTAATATTTTTTATAAATATTAATTTTTAATTTAATCATTAGATAAAAATTTAAAATAAATGAATAAAAAATATAAAATTAAATATAATTAAAAATTAATTGATGTTTATTAAATACTTTTGTTTTAGTGTGTAGTAAGTTATAGTTTATAATTAAATTTAATATTGTTAATATTTTTTTATTAGCCTAATTCAACAATATAAAAATAATAAATAAAACTTTGATTAAAATAAAAATATTCACTTTTTGTCATCAACTTTATTAAAATATATATATTATATATATTATGTTAATTTTATCAAATAAATATTTATATTAATATAATTTTTTTTCGCTATATTTCTTCATATGTGCATTTGTTTGTTTGAGTAATGTAAATTTTTATAATAAATTTATTAAGATCTTATTTTGTATAAAAGAGATTATTAACAATAATAATATTCATTAAACTATATATAAAAAAATTCATTCTAGTTAATATTGATACAAATTAAATGTATATAGAATTTATTTAAGAACAATATCGAACAAAAAAATTACAATCATCATAATATTTACATGAGTTGTAAACTAAGATTTTGAAAAGAAACATCTAAAGTTGCATGTTTGAATCATCAAATACAAAAATATATTTATCTCTTTTTTTAAATTTGTTCAACATGCAAAATTATTTCTATCCACTTCCAAATTTGATATTAGATTTACAGTAAATTAGAAATTTGTACACAACTGCTATTTGATTCGGATTGCGTAACTTCTAAACTCCGTTCTCACCATTTACAAACGTTGCAATCATCTCTTTTGATATATTCTATAACATCAAAAAAATATAACTGCATATTCAAACAAAAACATAGATGTCTAACAATCTAAAAATACCAATTGACTTATAGTAGTATGATAATGAGTTAATGCAATTGAATGGAAACGTTCTCAGAATAAAAAGTCTTAATTTCTATTTTAACTTTATCAATCATTTACTGATTTCTATTTAAATAATATAAAATAATTTTTTTAATTAATATTTCAAAAACATGTATAGTAATCACTTCATATATTAGTATATAAAACATATGCTATAACAAAGAAATAATTAATTCCATTTTCAATATTACCTTGTCAAACTCGTTAAATACACAAAACATTATAATTTTATTTAATAGTTTGAATGCATCCGAAGGATCCTTTGTAAAATACAATGGCAAGAAAGCGTTGAACAAAATATCCATTATAAAATCATTTAAAAAAATAAAAATCTAAAGAAATAATGATAAATCTTGAATTTAAATTTACACTACTCAACAACAATAAAATAACTTTGTTTTTATAACAACATACTATTATAGGCAGAAAGTGAAGAACATAGACAAAAAAGAAAAAGAAAACATATTAAAGGTGTGTAAGCAATCAAAATATAAAAAAGTATAATAATAAAAAGAAAGAAGGGTGAACCAAAGTGGAGATGATACTTAAGCTTATTCTTGCCAAGCAATGAAAAAATGCATAAAAATAGTGTGTAAGCAATCAAAATAGAAAAGAATGATAATGCTCTATAAATAATATAAAAAAAAAAGTAATAAAAATTGAAAGAGGAATAAGAAGTATGAACTATACGTGAAGGTGTAAGAAAAAAAATGGAGATGATACATGAGTTTGCTTTATTAAGTTTTTCTTCTATTCAAATGCAAGATTTATCGTCAATGATGCAGAATAGCGGAGTCACAAAGTATACAAAACTAATAAAAAAGAGAGTCGAGAGAGGTTACTGCTAGTGCTGAGAGAATTTATTTTTTATGGTGTTTATACATTTACAATGTGAATAAGAATAAACTAAACATGAATACATAAAATAAAAAAATATATATATATATATATATTACACCTAACTTATATTGGTTAATATTTCTTCTATTTATCTGTAAGCTTTGTAAATGTGAAAGAAAAAGCAATGAAGTCAGACACACCAAAATGATTTTAAACAATATGAAGAAGGAAAAATAAAATATAAAGACACATAAAGCAAAATGCAAATGATACATTACTTTATTGTTTAACTTTTCTTTTATTCACCTGCAAATGTTTGTAATAGTAGGCAGAAGTGCTTTAAGATTGCAAAGTACATAAAATTGATTTCAAATTTATACTTTAGGAAAAGAATATAAGAATCATACATAATGTTAAACATTATGTATGATTCTTATACATAATGAATACATAAAATAAAATAAAATATAAATTACACCTAACTTATATTGGTTAATATTTCTTCTATTTATCTGCAAAGTTTGTAAATGTGAAAGAAAAAGCAATGAAATCAGACACATCAAACTGATTTTAAACAATATGAAGAAGGAAAAATAAAATATAAAGACATATAAAGCAAAATGCAAATGATACATTACTTTATTGTTTAACTTTTCTTTTATTCACCTGCAAATGTTTGTAATAGTAGGCAGAAGTGCTTTAAGACTGCAAAGTACATAAAATTGATTTCAAATTTATACTTTAGGAAAAGAATATAAGAATCATACATAATGTTACCTTGTGATTTTATTTGAAAGATTCTTTACGAAAGCAAAAGGTAAGAAAATGTTGAAAGGAAAGTACATAATAAAATCCTTTAATAGAACCTAATATGTAAAAACAATATGAAGAAGGGTAAACCAAATATGAAGAAGTAATAAAATAAAGGATAACCAAACATGATGATAGAAGAAATAAAACTCATTGGTTACCTCTTCTTCTATTCACTTGCAAAAGTTTATAGTGATAGGCAGAAAAAGCTTCAATACCACATAGCACATAAAACTTATTTCAAATTTTCAATAGACTATTTGGTGGTAAGTTTTATTTATTTTTTTGGGTGTTACATTGGGTTTTCTTTCCTCTATAAGTTATTGAAATGAGTTTCAATACATCTTATCAAGATAACATGCCAATATAGAGAATGACAAGTAATAATGACATTATCAGGATGTAATTATTATTTTTTTATAATTTGAAATTTGAAATTTAAAATATGAAGTAGAATAAAGTTTCTAAAAATAAAAAGGGATAAAAAAGAGTGTTGGAGAAGCTTTTCATAAGGTGCTGATACCTCATCAATTTTTTTACAAAATAGTATTCAATTGTATATTATATATATATATATGCGAACTGTCCAAACTCATATGAGTTAACCTGATTAAAGTCCTACTGAATAATGTGCTTATCTAGACTAGGCCAAAATGGCTCGAAGTAATTTCAAATTTTATTTGTAGAGCGCAAGCTTACTCATTAATGGGTTTTTTTTTTTAGCTCAATCCATCAGGTCAACCTATTTTGTTAGTTCTACTCATTATCAACTTTTTTTTTTCCTCTTAAGAAACAAGATTACTTGAATGTTGCAACAAACTTATGTAATTAAAAAAAATGAAAATGTTAATCTTAGCTTTTAAAAGTGTAGGTGAACAATTAATGATAATAAATTTTATTTTTAAAAAGTATTTAGTATATTTTTGTAATTTTAATATAATAAAAAATTCATAAAATATTTTTATTTTTAAATATTTAAACTCAATTTTTAGAACTAAGGTTGATAAAATCCATAATAAATTAAATACTCATTACAATCAAGCTAGTGAAACCTAATGCCCAAGTCAACATTTGTCATAGAAAAAAGGTTAACAAAATACTCTCTAACACATTCTTTTTAACACACTCTTAGATAGTGGCATATTAAAAATCACAAAAATATAGAAGTTCATTCTTGATTTAATATTCTTATTTCTAATTTAATATTTCTTTCTCATTCTTTCATAGTTTTTAATAAATTAATAACAATAAGTGTATTAAAAAGAATTTACTAAAAAATGTGTTTCTAACACTTTTCTTCCTTGCAAACACAACTTAACTTACATGAAAATACAACAATAACTAAACTTACCTCATCTCAATGTTGGAAAAAAATATGAGTTACACTCTTTAGAGAAGTAAAAAGAATAAAATAGGAGGAGCATAAGTTCAAATATTTTAAGTTTTTTTTTTTTTTTTTGAGAGAGTAACAAACTAACCTTCCTTACATGGCAAGACTGTGATTAAATATGGTATTAGAGTCCATATGACCTCACGGCATTATTGATCAAATGAAAGACTAGTAACCTAACACTTGAAAGCTCTATGATTAAAAAGGGCCGAACGAGGAAAACCTAAGTAAAAGTTGTCTAATTTGTTGCCGTCTAAGACTCAAGTAAAAGGAGCAAAATCCAAAGCCTTTTAATGTAGGAGAAGATATTGGATGGGGGTTGCTAGCCAGTTACTGAGTTAGCATACTTTTTTAATCTGGAGAGAGGGAAAAGATGACGAGACTTAAATTACAAGTGTTTCTTATGAGAATAAAGACTCGTTGATTTTGAAAAAACAAAACAAGTTGAACAAAAGCTCTCAGGTCAAATCAAGTATTTTGTCTTATTTATTTCAAATTCGGAGAAAAATGAAAGGGAGGGAAGTGCTTTTCCTGCAATTATTACAATTGCCCTGCAACTAACGCGACATTAGCCTGTAGTCAGGGCATTATCGAAGAGAATTTGCTCTTTATAATAAGATTGTATAATCTCTTTATATTCATGATGAGAAAAATAGAAAAATAATAACATTATAACTCATTCAAAAAAATGGCCAAAGAACCATTCAAAGCCAGAAAGTATCGCGGAAATTTCGCACGTAGCTTGCTTATCCCCAAACACGCCCATCGATTCCATTACAAACAGCCAAAATACTGCAGCCTGAAAGAAAATCCCCCAATAAAGTAAAGCAAAACCAGGAATCTGCACACCCACTTTCTTAGAACAACAAAAATAATTGAATTCCGCACTCCAAACTCAAAAATAAAAATTTCGTTACGTCTGTGAGTGGATTTAGAATCATAACTTAAAAAAATTGAAGGTAACTTCCAGAAGAACATTCTTCTCTTTAATGAATCTCCCAATATAGCATGTACCAATTAACCACATACATACGCTGTATATCACACCCTGCACGCAAAGATACAACAACAAACAAACATTTATGTTCGATTGTTGTAAAATGTAATTAATTCTTGCCCAAATAATTTTTTTTTAAAAAAAGAGGAATTTAGAATAGACTTTACTGCTGGAACTCAATATTGATCAAGGTGGCAGAAGTATTGGCAATAGTCCCGAAAGCCTTGTCGGAGAGAACGATGGTGGTGCCGCCAGCTGAGGATGGCGACACCGCAGTGTCGGCGTAATCAACGATCTTGATCTGAATGCTTTGGTCAGGAACGCAAGTTTTGGGTTGCTCTGCACTTATGCATCTCACCATATACTGCCTCCCACACGCCGCTCCGTTATCCCATATTCCATCCCCCGCCGCCGCAAACAGATTACTTGACGGAAACTGCGACGCTTCGCTGCCGTAACACCCCGATGCTATCATACATATTAATATACAGCATGCACCCATTTAATTAACATTTACTTAATAGCTAATTAATTATTATACATTGGATATTTGATGATAAGTATATGCGCGCACTTACGTAAATATGGAGGAGAGTAATGAGAAGCGGTGCCAACGTCGGCGTTGGAGGGGGGCAGCAAAACTATGGAAAGAATGAAGAAAGATAGGTTAACTGCTGCTGACATTATCGATGGCTTGTGGATGGTCGTGGATAAGATAATTAAGATGCAATGATACAGATATAGTGAACTTGGCATATATATATTTGTATCTAATTTTTCCCTACTCAATCCAGTTACATTTTTATTTAAATTAAAATAAAAAAAATATAAAAAATATAAAATTAGATCAACCTATTTATTTATTTTTTACTTAAAAACAAATTTACATTTTCTTTTTTAATCTTCTTTTTTTTCTTTCTTTATTCTTAACACTCATTGAACTTTTATATTTAATCCTCTTTAATTTCTATATTTAACTTTTTTCCTTATTTTATATTTAATTTATCTCTTTTTTTCTCAACTTTCTCTTCTCTCCATTCTATGCTAAACTCCTTTCTTACCTTATCTCATCTATCTCTCCTTGTCTTTCTTTTATATTCATTTCTTAGTTTTTCTCTTCTTCCACTATCATTCTTATATCACTAAGCTCTTATTATCTTTATTTATTTTTAGTTTTCTCTTTTCTTTATATCTAACCTCTATATGCTCAAATATACAAAATTCTTTTAAGTCAACATAATTTTCTTAAGCTAATTTTGTATTAAAAATTATTTTTTTGCATTTTTATTTAAATTAATCTATTTTGACTTAAGTTAAAATGAAACTAGATGATCTGTTCAATTCCCATTATGAATAAAAAAAATTTAGATCATATATATTTGCTACCTTGAGTGAAAAATGTTATTTTATCTGATATGATGTATAAATTAAAAAGTAGTTGTGCTATAATTATACAAGTATTTAGTGTAAAATATGAAAAAAGGTGAAAAAATTAAAAGATGTGTTCACATGTGATAGAATGAGATAAATAAATAAATGACAAAGATAAAATTAACGTATAAAAAAAACTTGATGGGAGAATAACGATGAATTTAGCTAAAAGGAAATAAAGAAAAAGGTATGGAAGGAAAAACTTTTTAAACTTTATTGTTTGGTTTCAAAACAACTAAAAGAGGAGGGAATATACGATAGTCCAAATTTGAGAAATTATTTTAAATATTAAATTTTGAAGAAAATTACAAAAATATGAAACTTAAAGATTACTTGAATTTCATAAAATTAACTTATTTTATTAAAAAATCACCAACAATTTTTCGTATTTTATTAAAAATTACCACACAAAAATCATATTTTGATATATATATATATATATATATATCATATAAAAATTTTAATTTTTTTTTATTAAAAATGTATTTGATGATAAAATTTATGATTATTTAAGAGTTTGTAACTTTTTTAGTATTAATAAATTAATAAAATTGTTTCATAAAAAAAAAATTAGAAGTGAATTTATAAAGAGTTACTGTATGTAACATTTAGCTTATTGGAAGGTAGTTACTAATTTTTTGTGATATTTTTTAAATAATTTACAGTTATATAAAATAATTCTTACTCACTTTATTTCTTACATAACACTGTCACCTTGTTCAATTTTTTCTCGCTTCCCATTTAAACAATTGGTTGATATTAAATAAAAAATATTACTATTTAAAAGGTTCATAATAAATAAAAAGATATTGAATCTTAATATTATATCAATATATGTGTTATTTTTTGTCACTAACATGTTTCAATTAATTATATAAATAATTTTATCAAATAATTATAATTATCATATTATTTAAGATTTATTTAATGCATTTTATTATTATTTAAAATTATATAATGTTTAAAGTTGTTGTAAAATATCCTTTTTAAATTAATGTGAATTTCGTTCAGATAATTTATATTTCATTTTTAAGTAGGCACGTCCCCACAATAATTTAAACATGACTGTGTTAGAAATAATTACATATTTCAAAATTTTTCAAAAAGAAAATAAATGTGAGATTTTTTATTATTTTTATAAAGAACCTCAAATATACTCTTTATAAAATTTTAGTAATTTTTTAAAAATTAACTTTTAAAAATGAATTAAAATTAAATTTTAAACATTCTCTTCTATCCCTAAAAAAAAACTTTGCCCTCGTCTTTCCGGTGAGCCAATCACTGGGTAAAAACTTTTGTTAATTTTTGTCGCCGTTGATTTTTTGCGTTCAGAGTTCCGGTCGAAGTCAATGTTTAATTATCAATTTAGAAAGGTCCGACGCGTTGGGAGTCAGATATGTTCACCGGTGAAGAAAATTAAGTTTTGTATTAAGTTTCTCGTCATCACCATCCAGTGACCCACTGTTAACCACCACGTTGACTTGGAGTGTCGTGTAATTCAATTCACTTTAACTACAATTGTGCCTGACATTTATAGATTGATTGAATTTATTATTGATTTTATTTTTATTGTTTAATTAATATTATTTTTTATTAATTCATGCAATAAAAAAATCACATTAAAAGTTAGCACAAATTATTGAAGTTAAGCTTAAAAATAGTTATAATAATTAATTAAAGTTTATTCTCAACTAAATCATTCAAACTAATAAAAAATGTTAAATTTAAATATTTTTAAATAAGTAAAATTAGTCTTTTTATTCTTCATTTTTAAAAGAAATTTTAATTTTCTTTCAATTTTTTTATTCTATAACTTGTAAAAGCTTTTTAAATAGATATTTTTTCATGAAACATGTTAATTATGATAAAAAATTATATTTTTATCATTTATACTGTTGATCTTATTTCTTAAATTTGTAACTATTTATACCATTGATCTTATTTTTTAAATTTGCAACTTCAATCATTTTTCTTTATTTCTTCTTTCATCTTCTTTTCTTCTTTTTTCGTAACGTTAAACTTATTTTATTTTATTTTTAATCTAAATTCAAGGAATAACTATGGGTCCAATATGTCATATGTTCTCATAAAATAATCAATTTGATAGTGTCTTTTACAATCAACTATGTGTTGTTAAATTTAAAAAAAAAAAGAAATATATGTTCATCATCTTACATCTTTACAAGTATTGAAAATATAAAAAAAAATAGGAACATTATCAGTTAACTAGATATTTATTATTGAAAATATTATTTATTAGCATAAGAATAAGAAAGAATCCAAATTCTCTTTAGCTATTTTAGAAACTGAAAATTCAATTTTATTTTTACATAAATTTTATTTAAAAATGATTTTTAATGCAAATTTTGCGTTTATTTACTTTTTTAATTTTTTATTTTTCTTTTCCTTCATATTTAACATACTTTTTTAACTTATATATTCGACTCTCCTCTTCTTCCTATATTTAATTTTTTTTTTCCTCCTAACTCTTTCTTCTTTTCACTCTACCTTCATACTTAATTATCATTTTTTTTCTTTTCATTTTCACTTTATCCCTTACTTGTCTCTCATCTTTTCTGGATATCTAAATCCTTCACCCCTGCTCGAATATTACCCACACACTCCATCTTCTTTTTCCCCCACACCTAGTCTCTTCTCTTTTTTATAAGAAACGTGCAAGTGAATTTTGCATAGAAAATTTTTTTTATCATTTTTACTTAAACAAAAATAAAATTATATGTCTAGTTGCTATCACAACGAGAAAAATTTTATATTCAAAAAAAAGAGAAGGAAAAATGGTAAGAGAGAAAAACTCATAATTACATTATTAAAAAGAAGATGAAAAATATACATTAAAAAAATAAATATTTAATAGATTTAACAATTTTAATTATAAAAAATTTATTTAAAATGTTTTTAAAATTTATAAATGCACTATCTAGTAAAACTATTATGGAAGATTCATTTTAAAAAGTTTAAAATAAATAATTAAATAAATAAATAGAGACTAAAAATTTAATGAAGTCAAATTTATAATAATTAAAATATATAATTAATGATTGATTTAGATAATTTTTAAAGTTTAAAGTACTGAATTGTAAAAATAATTATTAATTAAAAATATTTTAATATAAGAATAAAATTTCAAAACAATATACGTAATGTAAAAAGATATTCTTATATATATGACGATTAATCGACTAAAAATGGAATGCAGCACAATTATGCTTAATCATTCTTACAAAATCACGAAATAAAATTTAAAACATTGATATCATATTATTGTTTATTATATTTTTATAGAATAATAAAACACTTATTTGAAACAGGAAAAAATAATGTATCACTAAACTCTTTTTGAATGTGGTACTGAAAAACTATTTTTGAATTATGTGTAACCTGTAGGACACCATGCAGGCACGCACCGATAAATTCTATCCGCAATCCACGCCGTAATGTAATAATCCTCAACAAGTGCCGCATCATTGCATTAAGGATATGATAACGACAAAGTGTTTCGACTGGGAAAAAAAATACACAAACTTTAAAGTGATTTAGTTAACGTGATGTTTGTTTATCAACAAATCAAACGATTTCTTTTTATTGTATATTTTATGCTACATAAGAGTTTTTTTCACTTTTAAAATTTATTTACATAATAACTTATAATTTAATATAATAATTTATTATTTATCATTATAATTCATTAAAATAATAATAATTGAATTTTAAGAGACAATACAAAAACTTAAGTTATCTCAGAAGAAAGAATTTAATAATTTCAAAGTGAGCATGAGTTAAATAACAAAATACTCGACTGTATCAAACTTTGGAATACGAAATTAGCATCAAAACCCTATACTCTAAAAGATGAATTTACACATATATTTTATTATATGAGTATTTTTTTAATTTTTTATAGTAATATAAGTATGTAATTTTTATCGTTTTGACTTAAAACTTAATTAGTTGATCCTTATAATTTTTTTCATTAATTATATCTCTTATTTATAAAAAAAATTATAGTATATATTTTTTTAACTATAATGTAAACTTTTTTGTTATATATGATTTTTTTAGTATTTTATTAATTATAATTATATTTTTTAATTAATATTTCTATTTATCAAATTGGGACTAAGATATAATTATTTCCTTTTTTTCTAATCAAATTGCAAACTAATAGCCTTCATTGACCTCCTGTTAAATTTAGAGGCTCTATTTTATTTTATGTAATTTGTCTAATCATAATATATTTATTTTGAAATTAGTTAATTTTTTTTATTAAATAATGTTATTTTTACTAAGAGTGTAAGTAATGATATGTTTAAAACCATTTAGAATTGAAATGGTCCTCCTAAAGTTAATTTTTTTTCTCTAAAAATTTATTCACAAGAGATTATTCATCAATGAGGAGAGATTCAATAGAAGTATGATAATTTTTCCTACTTGCTCTAGACGTGGGGATGAGCTTAAAATTATTATGCATGTGTTAAGACATTGCTTTTATGCTAGGAGGATTTGGGAGAATTTTATCATAGTTAATTAGTGGGTGTTATTTTTCAGCTTTGGTATATCTTTTTAGTTGTCATCTTGTTTATCTAAATCTTGTATTATATACTTTTATAACTAATCTACTATTATTGACACTGTTATTTGACATTTTTAGAATGATAAAAATTATTTTATATCTTAAAAAATTTATATTTTGCCTAGTTATTTAGTTCAAAAAGTTTTATATAATACTGATTATTTCTCTTGTTGTGTTAAGAATGATTCTATGTTTTACCCTGATTTAGTTAATGATCCAAGGATGATTAAGTGGACTCTTCCTATTAATCAGATCAAATTAAATGTGGATAAAGTTGTGTTTAGATTTAATGAAATGACTGCTTGTGATGAATTAATTCGTGACAATTATAATAGATTTATAACTTAATTTTTATAGCAATTTGAATTCTTATTTCTCAATTTTTACTGAACTTTGAGACATTTTGTAAGGAATATAGTTGACAATTTCTTCTTCCATGTAATTTTGATTGAGAGTGATTTCAAAGAACTCATCACTTTTATGTTAAATGTCCATTCCCCTTCTCATATGCTATTCTCTTTTATTTGCTTTGTCAATTTTGTTTTTTATTTATTTATTTTTTATTTTTTTGTAGAAAAGCCAAGTTTTGTGCTGATTTTTTAAAGCCAAATTAAGCCTAGAACTCCTATTTCCTCTATTTCAGTTTAAGGTTCTCCCTTTTGCCCTTTCTTAATATGGATACTAGTTCTTGGAGTTTTTCTAAGCATTTTGCCTAAGTTTTGGGCTTTTTACCCCTTTCAACATAAAAAATAAAGTATAACTAGAAAAATACTGAAATAGTATTAAAGGAAGTAAGTGGATTAAGTATCGTGAAGTATTTAAATAACTTTTAAAAAGTGTTAAATAGAAGAAAGTATATATCATTTTTCATCACTTGTATTGTATGTATGGGCATTTTTGAAGTGTTAAGACGCATCGTGTGTTGCATTAGGGTGGATTCTATGCTGCATTTTAAGAATAGGGTGCATCAATGCATCTCGAAGAAAATTTCACTTCTACTCTCGTCCACACCCATTTTTATTATTTCCTTTATTAGTCATATAAAATTATGATATAATTTTAAAAAAATTCATAAAGTTATTAATTCTTTTTTATTACACCTCTTATCTTTTATATTAATTGATTTATCTCACATTGATAAAAAAATTAATTATTAAAGATTTTTTTTAAATTATTATTTTCCTATTTACAATGAAAATCAAATGAAAAAACAATTATTACAAAGATCAATCAAAAGGAAACAACAGAAGTATAATATTAATAGTATATTTTTTAATCTTAATTATGGGTGATTTATTTTAAAATTTGGTTACATTAACTTTAAACTCAAAATGTAGTTGAAATATAATTTTACATTAAATTTTGATCATTGTTTAAGAAAAATGTGAATTGTGTGTCTCAGTAATTTTTCATTTCTATAACAAAGAAAAAGGATTACAGCATTTTTGTTGGTCCACAAAAGGATTACACCATTAATCACACAAATGTGCCTTTGAATTTTGGGTTTAAAAGGCCATTTTGTATTGAGTCTGCAAGCAAGTCAATTGTTAGGCATTGACCTGTTATTGTCCAAGCTGCAATTACCTTAATTAGAGCAACTCTCTCTGAAACACGTTGCTGATGCAGTTTCCTTTGTTAGCCAATATTTGCATGCATTAGGAGTTGTTGTACGTAATTTTCACCTTAGCTGTAACATTATGAACAAGAGCAAGTAAAATTATGCACACGTTCAAGAGAAAACCTACTAATATAATTTATATGTTTTAACTATTTACATTTTTTTACCGCTTTCACCTTACATTTTAGCCCTTTATTATATTTCATTTTTCGTTTTTTAATTATGGCGTGTGATATATAGAATAATTGTTAACTGTTATACAGCTTCAAAGTAAATTAAAACTTCAGATTAAATAGCATAATCTCTTCCTCAAACGATCACCTAAAAGAGAATCGCTTAATTGGTTATTCAGACATATCTTACAACTATTTTTCTCTAGTTCATTACCAACTGATTCTAAACAATTTTAGACATGTGTATTGTACTCAATTAAAGCCATGAGTTATGGAGGACTAAAAATGTATTGATAATGTGTAGGCAGTCAAAGCATGCAACTATGGAAGTACAAAAGAAAAAGGGATAAAGATATAAACCACACGAGTCAGGACAATGTAATGTACTCAATCAAAGCAATGACTTATAATTATTGGTTTAAACTTTAACACATTTCAAAATAAAAAGAAAGTATAACATAATAATGTTTTAAATGATAATGAAATATAATTATACACATTTTTCAAAAATTATTTCAAAAATATTTTTTTATGTCTCTAAGAATTAATTCTGGAATTATCTACTATTTTCATAAATTTCTAAAATTAAAATTCTACACTTTTAAAAATTAAGTTATTGAATTATAATTCTACATTCCTAAAATTAAATTTTTTAACATGTGGAGACCTGCTACTAGAATATATAATCTTAATTTTATAAACTTATTTTTGAAAATGATTAATAATTATTAAAATTATTTTTCTAAATATATAAATTTATTTTTAAAAATGTAAAACTTAAATTTAAACTTAATTTTTGAAAGAATAAAAAATAAAAAAATAAAGATGGATAAGAACATATTTTGTTATAAACTAAATTTTCAATAATACACAAATTATAATTAAAAAGTTACAATAGTTGAAATAGTAAAGTTTCAGAGAGAGGAAGGATTTTTTAAGTTTTGGAATGAAAATGAAAAAGTTTATTGGTTTAAGTTATAATAAAATATATTTTAATAAAAAATTACAAAAATTATTAAGAAGGTATTAAAAAAAGAAAGGAGTAAAAAAATAAATTCAATTAAGTATTCGTGATTTTTTTATATAAATAATAATAATTTTTCAAAGCCGTAGTCTAAAACAGTGATTTTGGGTGGAGGCCCATCCGTAAATTCATGTCCAAATCCCTTAACTGCATAAGAAAGTTTGGCCCAAACAAAACCTACATAAGAAATAAAAGGAAAGGGAAAAAAGAAATTGTATTTGGTGGGGTCCACAATCCACCATCTCCATCTCCATCTCCATCCGAGAAATCACAGACACAGTACAAAAGGGCAGATCCAAAGCCAACGTATCCATGCTTCGTGCCTATCCTCATTTCCTTCTCTCTTCCTCTTCCTCTTCTTTTCCAATTTAATAATATTATATTAATTATTATCATCGTTACCTTCTTTTCTTTCGATCCATATTCCTCACTACACAGGGTTAGGTTTAGGAGCCTTCTCTGCTGTCCAATTTTTCTGTTCACTCTATAGTTTCGCTCATTTACGATACACTCATTTTATCTCTTTAATCAATACACCACAAACACGATAGGGATCGTTCTGAAACAATAGATTTAGGGTTTCTCTAATATAATATTTTCATACTTGATTAAAAAAAAATCACATTAATTTCCCTTAATTTTTTGGGTTTATCTTAGCCATAAAACTAGGTTTTGATAATAGTTTGGGAGAATGGAGAAGAAAAGGGTGGCAGTTCCTCTTGTGTGCCACGGCCACTCTCGGCCCGTGGTCGATCTCTTCTACAGTCCTGTTACGCCTGATGGTTTCTTCCTCATCAGTGCAAGCAAGGGTACGCTCTCTCTCATCATCATATTTACCTTTTTTTAGATTTTAATTCGGGCTATTCAATGTGTTCATGTCTGAATTGCGAACAGTCATCGTCTTTTTTTTAAATTTTATGGATCTATAATTATTTTGGTGCCTGGTGGGATTTTGATTCCAAAATGCATATCAACGTATAAGTGGATAACGTATCTTGTTGGATTGCGTGTTATTATTTTAGCTCTCTCTCTCTATATATAAAAAAGGCATTTCAGAATTTTATAGATGCTGTAAGACGCGGTTAATATCATGGATTTGTGCGCCGGCATTCTGAGTTTGTTTCATTGATTTGATTCATGAGTGTAGTGGAAGATGATGTGTGAATTTTGATTGGTGTTCAGATTCTAGTCCTATGCTCAGAAATGGGGAAACTGGAGACTGGATTGGAACATTTGAAGGTCACAAAGGTGCTGTGTGGAGTTGCTGCTTGGATACTAATGCCTTGCGTGCTGCAACTGCTTCTGCTGATTTCTCGACGTATGTTATTTTAGCTCTCAGCGACCTATCGCCTGCCCTTAACAGAAACACTGTGAAGTTGATTCAATGTGCATGGGGATCTTACCATTCCTTTGAGCTCATAGTACTGCGTGCTCTTATAAACTTGTTTCCCTTCTTGCTTGTGTCCTCGTACACATACTTTGTGATCAGATAATGTTATCGGTTTAGTATTATGTTAGGAACATGATCATAGGTTTGAAGTTTTCATGTGTTAAATGTTGATTAGTATTCAGTTGTGTTGGCAGCTGGATTTTCCTGGTAATGTGTTTTTTTTTTTCTTTCAAATTTCTGTTGTGTATCATGATCAATTTATACCCTGCAAGCAATGCAATGAATTATACTTTAGAGATTGTAATTTTTTTATTAAAAGTTTACTGGTCATCTTTGGTTTAATGTGCAGGAAAGTGTGGGATGCTTTAACAGGAGATGAATTACACTCTTTTGAGCATAAGCACATTGTTCGAGCATGTGCTTTTTCTGAGGTAGATTTGGCAATGTTATTTTCATACTGATTGCTTTTATGATTCCTGTTTATATCCGTTTTGGAGAAGGGAAATAAATAGTGGATAGCGGTGCATAGCAACCAACCTTAAATGCTATAATGCGTAGCAATATAGCAAGACGGCTAATATTTTGAAATTTTTTATACAGATTGCATAATTTATACTAGATGCTTATAGAGGCTAGAAATTTAAAACAATACTTTAAATTCATTACATATTCATAATTAACAATAGAAAATTACAGGTCCAAGCAAAGCAAATCACTAAATAGCAACGAAAGTGAAGGAAACAAACAAGTTTAAGTCTCTAACTCTTACACAGAGTGACAAAATATTAAAGATCAAATAAAAGTTAAACCAATTAGAAGAACAAAGTTAGATGACACAATATAAACTCAGACCGGAGAGAACGAAAAAATTAGAACAGCAAGAGAACTCAGACAAACTTAAATAATTGGAATAGAAAGTTAGAAATCAACAAAAAATACAGAAATAGAGAAGAAAAAAAAGATGAGGATAATGAGAGGACTACAACCTTCAGGAATTAGGTGACAGAGTCGGTGGACAGATTGTGGACTCACCAGAAGACACCCGGCTGTGGCTGGAAAGTTGTTGGAGAGCAATGGGTTGATGGGTCACAGTAACAATATGAGAGAAGAGACCACTTGTAGATGAGAAGAGGCATGATGGGTTTTCCCCCAGATCCTTTGTAAACCTGTTTATTTTGACCAGACCCCCTCCCAATGCCCCCCAAATTTTCCTCTCTACAACATTTCAACTGTGGGGCATATTTGATTTTTGCTTGGTTTATGAATAGCGACCTAGTTGTGTGCGTTCAATTATTGAGGCTGCAACACTAAAATTCAACTTGATGAACTCAGAATAGCGGCTAACTTTCTCCTGTTCTGCGACACTGATATTGCAGTCCTGTCACATTCTATTCAGAACCTAGTATGAGGCACAAAATAAATGAACCATGGTAGTTGGAAATTTGAAATCGCATGAATTGTGATTCAATTCCTGCAATTTGGTGCGAATACTCAATCTATTGCGCGGAGATATGTTTTGTTGCTGGAATTGCATGCTGAATCACCCCAATCGTGCTAGGATTTTAGGAATTTCTATTTTGTTTCATTTTCAAGTTGGAAAAATACTGATGTAAGAGGGAGGCAGTTATGGGTGGGTGTGGCATGATTCTTATTGGCGGAGAGATCCATTAAGATGGCTTCTGAAAGAGGTAACAACTTTCATGATCTGTCCAGGTGGACAGATATGGGAGACCGGCAATTGAGGTGTGGTGGTGATGGTGGAGGAATAAGAACTTTAGAAGTATCAACACGGACACCTGCCTAGAATTTTTTAAATCCTAATGCCAATATTTCAATTAGCTGGCCTGGTGTCGTGACTTTTATCCTTTGTTTTAAGCATCTATGTGCTTTGTTTTAAAACTTTTGATGGATATTATAGTTTTTTAACTTGGAAAATTTTTGTCTAATTCATTGAGAAAAGTTTTTATGTTTATTTATTTTAGAATTTTCCTAACTCCAAATTTATTCTTCTTCTCACTTTATATTGCATTTCAGTACTTAAATGTTACTTTTACTGCAATACCATTTCTTCAAAAAATAAAAACAATATCATACTATGCAGTAGAAAATGTTAATACATGTCTGGCAAATATTGTTTCTTAACCCCATCTTTATTGTAGGGGATGTTGAAATTTGGGGATGTGATTGATGCTTGTTCTTTATATGGATTTAGCCTACAAATGCTTATGTTTTCGTATGCATTGATTTTTTTATACCTGGGGGCAGGATACTCACCTTTTGCTCACTGGGGGAGTTGAGAAAATTCTCCGAATCTATGATATGAATCGGCCTGATGCCCCACCCAGAGAAGTGGATAAATCCCCTGGTTCAGTCAGAACTGTTGCATGGCTTCATAGTGACCAGACAATATTGAGTTCTTGTACTGATATGGGAGGTGTCAGGTATATCCTCCATTCAGCTGTTAGTTGCTGAAAGCTTGTCTGGGGTTGTAAATTTTGTTTGTTAGCTTTCTAGTTTCTATATTTATAAATATATATATCAACGTTGGATACTGTATATTGCACTGAGTCTAGTTGATAATTCACAGGTTGTGGGATGTAAGAAGTGGTAAAATAGTTCAGACACTTGAAACTAAGTCATCTGTGACAAGTGCTGAAGTGAGTCAGGATGGCCGTTATATTACAACTGCTGATGGTTCTACTGTAAAGTTTTGGGATGCAAATTAGTAAGTACCAAGACTTGTGGGTCTATTTCTTCACCCAAATCTGCTTTTATATGGATCATGATGTTAGTTTACCTTTTCTTTTCCAGCTATGGATTGGTGAAGAGCTATGATATGCCCTGTACTGTGGAATCAGCTTCATTGGAGCCTAAGTATGGGAACAAGTTCATTGCTGGGGGAGAAGATATGTGGGTTCATGTTTTTGATTTCCATACAGGCAATGAGATTGGTGAGCTATTGACCACCAGTTCTTTCATCTTCTTGTGTTGTGTGTGTACATGTTTTGATGATCTATCTGTGTTGCAGCATGCAACAAGGGCCACCATGGTCCTGTCCACTGTGTCCGTTTTTCTCCTGGAGGAGAATCATATGCCTCGGGATCTGAGGATGGAACCATCAGAATATGGCAGACTGGCCCATTGACTAATGAGGAGTCGGAGGCTTTGTCTGCAAATGGATCAATTGAAAAGGTGAAGGTAACTGCAGATGAGGTTTCACGCAAGATCGAGGGATTTCATATAGCAGATGAGGGGAAATCTAAAGAAAAGAATGAGGCAGGGGAGGAATAATGCTAATAGTCGTGCATTTTGTCTGGCAGTGTTAGAATTAACTAGATCAAGTGCCTGCTTATGTACGTGATTAGTAAACTAAATTTTGTAAATTTTAGTTTGTGTTGGAGATTTACTGAATTGAACGGGCTTGTTACAGCTAGCTGAAATAAGTTCTGCGTTTGCTTTCATTTCAACTCTGACATGGGAGTTTATGGAATATAGGAAATGACTTGGTATACTTGTTCAAGAATCGCGTCCATTGAAGCAGCTCTTTTTTTATTGGGGTTATATCTTATCTAATATTTAATTAACATAGAATTGGACTGTGCAGGGAGTGGTGTTGTATGCACTGATAACATTGATCTCCCTCTAATTATGTTCACGCTTTTATGACAAGTTTACAAACATAATTTATGTTAAAATCTAACGTTTATACACGTTCAATTACTCGAAAACAGATACCCATTGACTAAACAATTTTCTAATAATCTCCAAAATAATGAGAAAATGTTGCGTCATTATGAATAGATTGACATTAGAAATAAGCGATTGATATATTTACCGAAGTAATCGAAGGGCTTATCTGCTTCAAGTGCTTAGCCCCTAAAAAGGGTATGAATAGATCCCCACTTGGGGGTTAGACTATTTGGATAAGTTGCTGTCAAGAATTTGGAAGCATTTTTGTATTTGAAAAACAAATGCGTCTTTTTTTCGCAACATGATGACAGTGTTTACAAATTATCCTTGACGCAATTATAAATTACAGTAAAATAAGTAATATTTTGAAACGATATAACCAAAATTGTTGGAAAAAAAAGGAATAATTTTTAACATATTTAATACTGTACAGGATTAAAATATATATGAAATAAATTTGTATTGAAAATTATAAAATTTAATAATATATTTAATTGCAATAAATTTTATAATATTGAATAAAAATATTATTTATAATTTATTATCTTACGCAAAGTTGCAAGAAAAATGGATAAAAGAAATAGAAGGGAAGAGAAGAGAGTGGGGAAGGGGTTAACTGCAATATAGGGTGGGGTTGAGAATGGAATACGTAGGGGTATGTATGTAATTTAAAGAAGTAAAAGGGTGGTGGAGTGGCAAAGGCATTAAATAAGGAATTGAATTGAATGAGATGCAGATTGAGTTGATAGAGAAGATGTCGGGGAAAGGAGCGAAGGGGTTGATAACCTCTGCCACTGCCAACATCAACAAAGACAAAGACAAGAAAAAACCCATTTCTCGCTCTTCTCGTGCCGGTCTTCAGGTTCCATTCTGTATTCATAATCATCTCATTCCCCACATTTCTAATTTCCATTTTCATTTTTTACTTTTGTTCAAATCTACTTTCCATCTTGCTGTTGTACCATTAATCATATCGCTATTTTATTAATCATCAAAGTTTTTTGAAATTTCAAAATCTCAATATGTAACATTGTCTATTTTCCCCCATTTTCTCGTTTTTGTGAATGTTGTCAATTGAATTGGGCAAATTTTCTATGAATGCTGCATCAACTATGGATAGCCTTAGGCAATTGGTTTGCAAGCTGCATTTTCTCGTCTTGTAAATGTACGTAATGTGCAGTTCCCAGTTGGGCGGATCCACCGGCTTTTGAAGTCGAGAACCACCTCGAATGGCAGAGTGGGGGCCACCGCTGCTGTCTACTCCGCCGCGATCTTGGAGTATCTGACTGCTGAAGTATTGGAGCTTGCTGGGAATGCTAGTAAGGATCTCAAGGTTAAACGCATTACTCCCAGGCATTTACAACTTGCAATTCGGGGTGATGAAGAGCTTGATACTCTCATCAAAGGAACCATTGCTGGAGGAGGTGTAATTCCTCATATTCACAAATCACTCATCAACAAGTCTTCCAAGGAGTAGATGAGATTACTTACTAATGGATTATACTATCGCTGCTTCATGCAAATTTATTGTCTCTACTAATTGTGAATTTATTAGATTCTCTTTTTAAAACTCTAGGACCTCCTATTCATGTTCTTAATATGGTACTAATCTTAATTGGGGATCATAATGTTTTCATCAATATTGAGAAGGACAAAATTTAAGTGCGGTAATTTAGGAACTTTTTATACTGTTCTCATATTAGAATTAGAGTTTTATTTTAGTATTCTGTTTAATAAAGGTCGACACACATTTCTGAAGTAAAACTTCAATCTTAATTGGAAGACAGCACTCGAGGCACCTAATGTATTGAAATTTTGTCCTACTGGAAATGCTATTTCATCGTTTTCATATGTTGGAAAATTGGATGTTAAGAAAAGAATCATAGCATATCTCGCCTTGGACTGGAATTCCTTTCCCTTCAAGCTTGTGCTTGTTATGGGTTGATACTTATCAAAAGTGGGCAGTGGTTGAGATTATTTATTGGAGACATCTTGCATCTGGTGTAAGATTTTTCTTCATGTAGATGACCAACTTTAAACTTTTGTGGGTTCCACTTGGTATTACTGATTACAGACGCTGCAGAATGAAAAAACACTTCCTCTAAGGGAAAGCAAGGGGATTCTTATATTTAATGTCCCCATATTTTCCGTGTCTAACATGAACATTTCTCGTCCCCTCCCCACCCTCCCTTATTCAAGAGGACAAGAACTGTAAAGTATTTATTAGCCCTTAGGGTTTGGATGTAGGAGTTTCAAGGAAATAAGAAATATTTTTATTTTAAATAAATATTTTCTTATTTGAGATTATTTTTTCTAAATAAGAGATTTGTTATATAATTTCTTAATATTCTTTTGTTCAGTTTTATAAATAATTTTAGGCAAATGTTTTCGAGTGCCTTTGTAGAGGGGTATATTTGCTCAAGATATTAACGGATAAGTTTTTTAAGTTTCTAGGATATTAAATATTATACTTTTTCATTCATTACTTTTTCTTGATTCTTTAATCATTATTCTTAGGATGCGAATCCGTATTTTTATGGTTCTAAATTTCAAAACGAGAAATTAATCAATCCCTTTCCTTTGACATACAGTACTGATAGATATGTATACCAACATCGTCGTTGACCCCATAATGATAATGAAAATGATAGTCATGATAGTATTATTAAAACTGCCGTGGGCATGTTGATGATCGAAGGATAAGGACTTGATTGCGTGTTGCACTCCAACAAAGAAGGCCATTCACACTTAATATTATTTTTACAAAATTCAGATGCAATACTGTTTTTTCTACTGATTTCTAATCAAATTTAATTTTTTCTGTTATTTTGCGTTATTAAAGTTTGTATATTTACCAAGATAATAGTTTTAATTCAGAAACAACACAAAAAATTGCCTGTTATTTTTCTTTTTAAAAGATATATATGTATTCACTAATTTTTGTTATATTGTTCAAATATAACAGGGATGTAAATTTTTTAATTTCATTTTCCTTTTAAATTTTGTAAAAATCAGAAGAAAGTGAAATTATGAAGCTTTTTCTTTTAGCCTTAATAAGATACCTTTTGAAAAATAAAAACACTGTTAGTAATTTTCATTTAGTTCTGTGTTTTGTTTTGTTTTGTTTTTTTTTTTCTATTTCAACGTGATAAGGATCTGTTCTAGTGATCGAGGACCCGGGTTTCTTCGGCTTTCACCCAAACAACTGTTATAATAATTATAATTAAAATAAAAACAAAATTGATAAAATGGGCGTGTGATAAAACTACCTAAAGATTTATTTATTATAAAATAATACATCTTAATAATGCAAAATGAACATTATCCAAATTTAACTCAAATGACTGAACTAACAAATAAAACTTGTCAACCCAGTTACATACAGTGTGAGGAAGATGGAAGGAGTGTATATAGAGAGTATAAAAGGGGGACTAGTGGATTATAGTAGTAGATGAAATTTTGATGAAGTAAAACCTCTAATAAATTATGTTAATTTGTCTAAAAAATAGATTGGAATAAGACATAATCTTATCTCCTAAAAATTAAAAAAAATAATTATTGAAGATGAATTAAACTTTTGAAATGCAGATTAAAATATCGAGCAACATTTTAGCAGGAATACCAGACACCTCAGAAACAGGGGTACTTCTTTTTCTAAGTTTATGTATTTTTATTTTGCTTGAATTGGTGCTTCGTAAGAGACAGGTTCCCTCAAGTTGGGATTACAACAAACAAACAAGTCAAAGCAGAGGAAAAAATCATTGAATTGCTCCTCTGCTTGAGAAATAAAGAATAGCTGTTGGAAAAAGAAAGGAATGGACATTATCGTTGTTTTCACACATAAAAGCATACTGCTAGAGGAAGAGGAGAACAAAAGCACCTCATGCAGAACACAAGCACCTCAGCTGGCTCATGAATAGTGTGCATATATGCTGATACAAACTACCATGGAATTTTGTTTTCAGCATGAACACACAAAAGAATTGAAATGGAATTGTTTAATTTTGATTTCACTGGACAAGCCACGGTTGAGATTGGGAATTACATTTCAGATGCCCTAAGCATTTACTATCACACAATCCACAGAGCAATCAATAAATACATTCCTGAGAAACACATCTCATAGCAACCAAAAGCTCAAGCACCAGTCCATGATTAAATTGGATTTAACAAAATCTACCCCAAGTTAGACCTACTAGTACGTAGCATAGCATAATAAAATTCCTAAAATACTCTGAAAACAGTAATGTATTACGATAACTTAGTAAGAGTATTTCACTAGTCCAAAAGCTACCATCTAATGCTGATAGTGATACACAAATACATAAATGTCATTGTTTTAGATGGCAGATACCCTAGGAACATCCACCGGAAACTGGTCAATCTCTTCCATCCAAGGACTCTTCTCCTTAGCAGGATTGATGGTCCTGAGAGCCTTCCACACTGCACTGTTACACTTGAATCCAGAACCGAACGCTATTTGCCATGTTCTATCTCCCTTTTTGATCCTGCCTTTGGCTTCTGTGTAAGCCAGCTCATACCACAGCGAACTGCTAGAGGTGTTTCCAAATCGATAAAGTGTCATCCTTGATGGCTCCATATGCCAAGGAGATAGCTGCAAGTTTTTCTCTAGTTCATCCAAAACAGCTCTGCCTCCAGCATGAATGCAAAAATGTTCAAAAGCTAGCTTGAAATCTGGAATATAAGGTTTGATCTTCATCTTGAAAAGTTTCTTCCCAACTAACGTGACGAAGAATAGCAGCTGTTCGGACGTTGGAAGTACAAGAGGACCCAGTGTAGTGATATTGGTTTTTAAAGCATCACCTGCAACTGCCATCAGATCTTTTGACAAAGTAACACCAATTTTGCCATTGTCATCTTCTTCTTGGGTAACACAGCTAAAGCACTTGTCATCAGCAGCCTTATTAGTGCGCACAGAGGTGACCAATCGGTATTTGGATCTTCTTCTGTCAGATCTTTTATTAGAAAGCAGAACTGCAGCTCCTCCCATACGAAATAAACAATTGGAAACAAGCTTTGACCGATCATTTCCAAAATACCAATTCAATGTAATATTCTCCATGCTAATGACCAAAGCATATGAGTTGGGATTGGCCTGGAGAAGATCTTTAGCAAGATCAATTGAGATCAGCCCTGCACTGCAACCCATCCCACCTAGGTTGTAGCTCTTTATATTCCCCCGAAGCTTGTAATGATTAACAATCATTGCAGAAAGCGATGGAGTTGGGTTGAACAGGCTACAATTTACAATCAGAATTCCGATGTCTTTAGGCTTTACAGAGGTCTTATCTAATAGCTCATCAATGGCACCAAACATCACAGTCTCGGCTTCTTTTCTTGCTTCTTTCATCGAAGGGTTGGGAGGAATGTTGAGGACAGCCTCTGGAAGGTAAGTAGAGTCCCCAAGGCCAGATCTCTCAAGGATCTTTCGCTGGAATTCAAGATTTTCCTCTGTGAAAGAACCGGTCAACCGGGAATGATCGATAAAAATCCTTTTCGTGCATTTCCGGGATTCTTCAGGCTTGTAACAGGAGAAATTGACAAGATACACCGGTCGAGGACGAGTTAGAAAGTAAAGGGTGGATAGAAAAACAAGGAGAGTTGAGCAAATGACAACAGATATCAAGTTGTATTGTAGATGCTCCCAAAGATCATACAAATCCTGCAGGGAGAAGGTGGAAAGCTGTGCAGCAGTCAGCACCACTAGGGGGGAAAGGAAGAGGTACATTCCATGGGTGATGAGGTAATGATAACCAAGCTTAACATACTTCAATTTAACAGACTTCTTGAAATCGGGAAGACTCCGCGATGATGATGCCATCAAGGGTGTATCCGGATTTGCATCTGCCATTTTGGCTGTTCGAAAGTTGAATCTACTTTGGTTAGATAACTTGCTTTAACCAAAAGATGATAACAAAAGACATTCAACATAAACACATCTTTATGGCAGTCTTCTTAGAATGGCAACAAAGTGCCTCCAAAATATCCTTTTTAGTAAGAATTTCTACTAATGTACATTAAAAATAATAACATACAAAATAAAGCATGCTTTCTCTCCAATTTCGATGCACTAAGTGATCACTGAACTCCCAAATCAGGTGGAAGTGAAAATAGTCTGTGCATAGAGAACAGGTTAGTGAAATTCAGAAGGCCACACAGCATGAACAGAAGGCAAAACAGCTATATTAAACACATCCTTCTATATTATTCTTTCTGCACAACAAACTCAGTTAAGAATTTGTAATCATACCTATTCATTTCATCATTCATGCTCGTGGAAATTATAATCAGATGCGATTTGAAAAAAGTAAAAAGGCGCTCATTGAAACCAAACATTCAATTTCTCCAACAGTATGATGTGAGAAAAACATAGAGCAAAAAGGAAGTCATAAAAAGCGAAGCATGAACATTATGAGTAAAAGAAGAAAATTTGCGAAGATGGGAAGAGCTCAATCTCGTAAAGAAACAAAACCCAGTTCCCAAAATCGTACCTTGACAACCAAAGCCAGCAGATCGCAGGAATGTAGCACGAAAGGAGAGAGATGTTGATGGTAGAGAGAAGAAGGAAAAACAGGTAAGGGAGCTGGAATAATTGTAGTTGTTAAATATACATATGTAGAGAGAGACAGAGACAGAGATTACAGGGAAGAATTAGAATTTAAGCAAAAAACTATAAACAATGCATTGTTTATCACTTTTTTTAAATATATTTTTATCATTAATTATATTTGATTTAAAAATATCAAATTTATCTGTCTTTTTATTATTTTATTTTTATAATTTTAATACATTTTAACTAATAAAAAAAAAATATTCCTACCATTTTAAAAAAAACTACTGTAGATTTTAATATTTGAACGAAGGAGAGAGATTCTGAGGTTTAAAAGAACACTGTGAGTGATAATGGAGGCGAAAGGGGAAGGGAATCACGACAAGCATGGAGAGAACATGTTCACTGTTAACAGTAGCAGTAACATAAGAAGCGTGGGAACGTGAGAGCTGAGAGATGCAACCAAAAACCAAATTAAAAGGGAGAGAATGAACCGAGTCGCAGACATGGGTTACTTCTCAGGACCAACATGATCTATAAAAATAAATAAATACAGATTCAGAAGACTCCGAGGTTAGTTCAGTTTTTTTCTTCTCCCTGTATTCTTCATACTCATACAAAATAGGTAACTAATTTTTATATGTAAAGAATAATTATGTGAAGTAATTAAATTGACAGTTTTATTCATTTAATGTTTAAATTTAATTTTAAACATAAAAGATGTAATAAATATTTTTAAAATAAAATTTAATTAATATTAATTGCTTGTATCTATAATCGATTTGTCTAACCTTTAAATATTACATATAGTACAAATTTATATAATATTTTTTATTAAAAATTATATTATTTATAGTATCAAGACATTAAATTTTTAATAAAAAATTTATTATACATAAATGTTTATTATGTAAATATTGTACAAATTAAATTTTTTTATAAAACATTATAATTTTAAATAAAATTATATATACTATATAAATTAATATGAAATAAATCTTATCAATAATTCATTTTATTGTATTTATTTAAATTTAGATATTTTTTACGATTTTATACTTGATTTTATTTTACTTTATACTAAAATTTATATTTTACTATTCATAAAAAATATAAAAAAAAGGTATTTCAATTGATATAGTACTTGTCACAAAACTTATATAAAAATTTAAATTATATTTTTAGAAAACATAGGTATAAAAATGGTTTCTACCTGTTTTACTCAAACTTTACCTATGTTTATCCTAATTATAATTTGTTATTAGTAAATTATTTTTTACTTACAAATACTCTTGGCTTATTATTTGTCGATTTATGATATGCTGTAACATTAAAAGGGGTCGTTTCTATTTTTTAAATATTCACCGAAAACAAAATTTAAAAACAACAAGAGACTAAAATTTAACATATGTTATATTGTATTTTATTTAAAAAAAAACTGTTTTTGAAAACAGAAACTTAAACATTTGATTGATTTGTGACTATTTTTAAAAAATCTTTAGAAAAAGGGGAAATTTAAACTCGTAGTCTAGTTCCGTAGGATTATAGAATTACGCAATCACTTGGTCTATTTGCACGAAGATTTTTCCATGAAAAAACAATAATATTTCGTATAGTTAAGTACATATTATTTAATTTAATATTGTTAAAACTTTCTACTAATTTATTTACTAATCATAAATGCTTTATAATTCATACGTATAGTTTTTACGTCATTTCATTCTACTAATTTATATCCCATTGGACCGATACTGTATTTGTATTTGTTTGGGTTGAAGGCGGCGAAGGCGCGTTTTGACCATTTGCGTCACGAGGACTGTTGCTTCTTTTCTGCCGCCATTCTCCACCGTCCGATTTTCTTGGGGTCCGTTTCGCGTCGTCGTTTGATTTAATTTCAGGACAAAACATACGGTTCTAAAACGACGTCGTGATGACTTTCACGCCTCAGTGGCGATCCTATTCCTAAAATTAATCAGATAATTTTGATTTACAAATATTAATTATTACCTTATTTTATTATATAATTGTAAGTGCAGATATTTTAATTAAGTGTAGCATTTTTAGCTCTAAAAACACAGCTCATTAACTCTTAAAAAAACAGAGACACAACTCATTAAAGGTTTTGGTCCACGTGTTGTAGAGTGGCAAGGCCCCCTATGAATGTGAGTCTGAATTAGTGTGCACATGTGACATTGACATTTGATGAAGAAACATTTATCGTAATCATATTCATTAACGGCTCCTCACATGGATCTCCCTTTTACACGTCCATGTGATCGAGACAGATCAAGATAATTCTAATCTTTCTTTTCTTTAATTATTATATACTTAAGATAATGAAAATATTTTCTTCTTATTTTATAAAATAAATATTAAATATTTTTATCTTTAAAATATAAATAACATTGAATAGCGAAAACAAATAGACATAAAAAAACAAAATGAATTATTTTTCTTAATGAAAGATTTCATAGCGCTGTTTAATTAAGATGGGAACAGCGAACAATCGAAGAGAAGCACATCGTTGGCTTCAATACTATCAGATATTGGTATTTATTTATTAATTTATTGAAATTAATTTCTAATATACTTTTATCTATAATTTTTAATATATTCTACCATTATTTTTAATTTGTTATCTACTGTCTCGACGGCACTTGTCAGTAGGACTCAAAATAAAATATTAATTATTTGATTGGAAAGTGTGTTTGTTAAAGTATCTATTTTTTTTCTGACTCATGCTAGTTAATGTAGTTGATAAGGGGTATAATAAAAATTTAAGAAATATTTTTTTATAAAAATTTAAATATTAATTATTAATTATTTTCTTCTTGTTTTTTTCTTCACTACGACTCCATAGATTAGGATCTCAATTTCCCGTTAAGAGAGAAACTCATATTTGAAATATAGCTATGTATCAAGCTGAATTATCTACCATAATATGTATTTGTAAAAATAAAAGAAAAAACAAATATTGGTAGAAACATGAACGGAAAAAATACATAAATCAAACGATAAAATATAGATATAATGTCATAATTTTGTTTTAAAATATTTTAAATTAAAATTTATACAAATAAGCCTTGTTAAAATATATAAATAATTAATAATTAATACATATAAAAATTAATTTTTTTTATTGAAAAGTTAGCTAATATTACTTTTTGGTTTGATTAATTTGTGTCTTAAGTATTTTTTACTTTATATATTTTTGTTAGACTTTGATTTTAGTCATTCATAATTATTGTTTTAGTCTTTATTTATTTTTAAATTTTAAATTTTTTATTTCTTTTACTAATAGTATAAAAAATTAACATGTAACACCTTTTTAATTAACTATATAACGACTAGAGATAAAAAGTACATTAAATTCTAAAAAATTAATTACTAAAATTAAAAAAAATATATAGGGTGTTATTTATGTGTGGTTTTTAGTCTTTTAATATTATTTTATTTAAATTTAATCTATCGATAATTTCATTTATCAGTATTTTTCGGTATATTTCTCTTCATAAAATTTTCAAAATTTTAATATTTACTAAAACAATTGAGAGTTTACGGTAAATTTAGGTTATGAAGTGATTTGAACGATTTAAAAGTAATATATATATATATATATATATATATATATATATATATATATATATAAAGATATAAGATTAAAATTTAAAAGAGAAAAATTTATATTTTTAAAAATATTTAGCTAAAATGCGACATTTTGATTGGTAATTTTGAGTAAGTAAATTTTTATTAAGAAATATTAAAATAATTTAATTTATTTAGTCTGCACAGATTTTGAAAAGAGAACAAAGCCCTGGATGAATTTATAGAAATTTTGTTATAAAAATAATATAAAAATGTATAAAACTTCCTTCATGAATTAAAAATAATTTGTCTTCAAATTTTTAAAAAATTAGATAAGAGAGTTTTTCAATTTAAAAAAAATAAAAAATATTTTTAATTTGTGAGATAATTTTTTTATACTGATTTTTTTTTCAAGTGCTAGATTAATCATAACATTTGAAAAATATGAAATATTAAATTCAAGAAAAAAAAAAAACGTTGGAGACTCCAAATCCCACATTATATTTTTTTAACGCATACTGAATGACCATTACACCCAATAAATTAACAGTTAGAAAGATTGATAATCCTTGAAGCATAGTTACGTTCTCCAAATTTTTTTAGTTTTATATATAAGATGAAAGGTTTTTATTTTATTTGATACATCCTTTATCCCATGTAATTTATGCTTTCTATAAAATTTTATACTAATAAAAAGAAATTATATAAAAAAATTATCGACACAATTTTTACTTCAAATAATTTTATGACTCATATCTCACATGAGATGATAACTATATACATGTATTATAGTATAACATGTAGGTATTTTTTTAGTTGTATTAATATTGGTCCAATCAAAATTATTAGTCCAAATTATACAAACTTATTCTAATTTGTAAAGTTTATAATTTGTATGTGTTTACAAAATTCTTAAGTTTGATTTTATCTTTTTCTAAATAAATTAACACCCTACAAATACAACTATCTTAATAATAATAATAATAAAAACACAGCACCTTACACTCATTTTTTCTTACATATTTTTTGTTGCTTTTATATTTTTTAAATTATTTTTTAATCACATCATTAGTTACATCTCTTCTTATTTATCTCTCCCTTGTTTTTATCTCTCTTTTCTTCACCCACCTCGCATCCAAGATAATAGAGTCAATGCATAATTATTCATTATACAAAAAACAAACAAGCATCCAAAACACACACGAGTCTACATAGATTGTGGATTGAGCTGTTGTTGATTGTTGAATAATCACCATGCATATATATTAGATATCAATGAACGAACTCTAGCATCGTGTCATACCATAAAAATGCTCCAAGTTGGACCTTTGGATAATTGTAGATTGAAAAGAAACGACCCATCTTAGGTTTAAGACGGAGACAATTTGTTGATTTGGGGCTTATGTTTTTTAGAGAAGAAGCACTCGAGGTTTCAAGTTTGTAGGAAATGGAGGAATAGTTATATTTTATTATAACATGAGTTTAATTATAGAGTGTTTATAAAATATGAGAAAGATTTTTGTAATACTTCAAAAATAAAATTTTTTGTATAATGGGTATAAATTTATATTAAAAATATATTTGGTAACATAAGTTTATAACTGATTTAGATGATTTTTTTAATCAATGAGCCGATAAAATTATTTAATAAAAAAAAGAAGCTTGTAATTTTTAAAAGAAAGTTTAAACTTTTATTTTAAAATAGCTCATGAAAAATCATCTTAAATAATACTCACCTTATTAAAAATACTTTTTTAATATATTTTCTATTTATATCCTTAATCGTCTAACATAAAATTAGTAACATTTCATTTTTAGTCATTAAATGTACAACTAATTTTATTGACTAATTACAAGCTTTCAGCTAACTTATCATCCATAAGTTTTACAAAACAAAGTCTAAGTGTAGTTTTGTTACTTTAACACAA